ATATACATATATATATATACATATATATATATAACTAGAAATGGAAAATTTTTGACAATAACATGCATCATTAAGCCACTATGCAGTATATTCTGGATGGGAAATCACATTTTATATGCTGTGAAGATGTTTAGGGAATGAATGTAAATTAAGTAAAAAAGTTTCAGAAAAAAAAAAGAAAGTGACTGATGCTAATAGGCCCATAAAAGAAGGAACCCTGCCTCATATTCATAATGGAAGGAGGAAAGCGTAAATTATCACTGAGACTTATAGCATGTCCATTATTCAGGTCTTTCTCAGTATTCAGGAATCTTCAGGTTCATCTCTGTGTTTCCCTATAAAAGTATGACACAGTAACTGTTTTATTGGTCCACATCTCTTGGAGCAAATTCAGAACTATTTCAACTTAAGGACTTTAAGTTTTATTAAATCAAGTCTCACAAACTGATATAATTGTTTTCCTTCAGTTTGGTATTAAATGATTGAAGAACATGAAGAGGAAAAGCTTTTTAATTTATGGCTTCTTATTACTCTTGAATTTTGAAGTATTTAAATATGTCACATAATTCAAGAAATAAATGACTAAATTTTTTGGTTTCTTTTGTTTTGTTTCTTGTTTGTTTTTAAAATCAGACCTCCTAGTTAGGTCTTGAATTCTTGCTGCTATTCTTATTTCAACAACCATTCATCTAGACCTTGGTGGTTTTAGAGGCAACTAGTCACCCATTGCTCACCTAATGGAATTCTAGAAACATTTCTATTTTTGTTATTGCTGCTACGAGCCCAGTCATCCAATAAAAAAAATTAAGACAATTTGCAGTTTCTATCCATTTTTTTATCCCCCAAAATCAATCTGTCACCATTACCTAGGCATTCTATTCAGTTTAGTGTTCTTCACAGTTTTAGACTCTCATTGCTTCACATTATAAACAGTATTACAGTCTCCTACCACTTGACTTTCAAACTACCTCTTTCTGCTTCTCATACATCCTACTGCCAAATTAATCATCCTAAAATTTTGTTCAACTGATCCCATTCCCCCACTCAAAACCTTCAGTTGCAACTCAGTGACTGCCAAAAAAATACAAGCACCCTAACATGGCTTTAAGACTCTGAGATGACCCTCACATATCTTATTCACCATCATTCTGTTTATCTTATTTTAATCCACATTAAACAATTCACAGTTTTCCAAATATAGCTTTCACTTTAACTTCCTTGAAGTTTATTTGATATGTATTTATTATACATCTACTATGTACTAGGCACTGCTATGTACTAGCACTGTTCCAAGTTCTAGGGATACACAGATGAAAAAGTCCTCCTTTTCCTCCTCTCACAGAGGCCTCATTCATCTTGGATACTCCCTCTGTAGTATTGAAATTCTATGCATCCTTAAGGTACAGCTGAAGTCCTAGTTCTCTGAAGACTGTAGTGATTCCCATTGCTGAAAATTTACTCTTTTCTCTCAACTCCTTATAGTTGTTCTTTTTTTTTTTTTTAATTTTGTTTTGGTGGTACTTATCATTCTGTCTTACATTTTTTATTTTTTCTTAAGATTTATAGGCAGGGTTAGTAGGTGGCATGGTAACTGAGGCACTGTACTCTCACATAGTCTACTGCTATTCAAGACCTGGACCTGGTGGCTTGCTTTCTCACTTTCCCTCTCTCTCTGTCTCTGGTCAGATTTTAAAACAATATTAATAAATAAAAATAATTATTATTATTTTTTAATTATGGGGGGCCAACAGGTGGAATGGTGGTTGAGGCACTGGACTTCCATGTGGTTGACCATGATTTGAGTCCTGGACTCTGTGGCTTGACACTTATGTGCATACATGCCTAAAATCCCAAGAGGAGAATGGAGTAGAAGGGACTGCAGTTTGGCATCCCCAGAGGATGATTTCTCACTTTCTGTCTCTGTCTCTCTCTGAGTCCTATAGTAAAAAGCTCTCAAAAACATAAATAAATAAATACATGGGAAACTTGAAAGCAAAGACTATATCTTTTTATATATTTTCTATAATGCTGACCATAGTTCTTTATTTGTAGTAACATTTAAGTGCTTTTTGTTTTGCCTATGAAAAGGCAAATTAATCAGGGATCCAGAGTTATCCCTGGGATCTGTTACAAACATTTACCTGTTCTTAATGTTCTTGAATTCAGGTGTATAAATTCTAAACATTATCATCCTTTATCCAGCTGACCTAGTCATACTGAAATCTGTATTTGGCCTAGCCATAGATGTGCAGTGATAGTGCACCACGCTGCAGTGTTAGAAGACATATGGAAGATTGTGGTTAGGTTCCCAGTTCGACGTGTACACACATGATGCACACGTGCATTCCTATGATCCTGGTTGGCTAGGAAGGCTTGGGGAAGATTGTGGCATGAAAGCCTGTTGAAAGCGCTTATCTCTTTCAGTCTTTGTGTCTCTCATGAAAGAAAGAATAACTTTTAAAGACCTACAACACTTACATATTTTAATATTCAGTATATTGGAAAATGTTTACAGGGTATGCAACCGTAAAATTTAATATATAATATTCTGATCAAATTTGTTTTAGTACAATATAAACTTAATAGTTTGATTAGTTCAAACACAAATCATTCTAATATAAATAGGCTTTATAAAATTACTCTAATGCTGTGTTCTTTTCCTTTCCTAGGAAAAGCATAGTAATAATGTGTGTATAACACTTTTACCTGTCAGTGGTTTATATAAGTTATTTTGGTCTCTAAACAGACCCGTGAAAGTATACAGTAGGTATTATCTCTATTTTAAATATGATGAAGCTAAGATAAAATGAAGGTGCATAATTTACAAGAATTCACATAGCTAATGAATGAAAAAGCCCAAACTTAATTAATCTTATGGGCATAATAATTGTATTTTTTTCTCTTCTTGAAGTAATTATGCATATTCTTTTCTTAGTGAAAGAAATGATGTCCTAAGAGAAGCTGAAATTTTACACAAAGCTAGATTTAGTTACATTCTTCCAATTCTGGGAATTTGCAATGAGCCTGAATTTCTGGGAATAGTTACTGAATATATGCCAAATGGATCATTAAATGAACTTCTACATAGGGTAAGTACTGCTCATTTTCAGTGTGTATAATTATCATTTCTTTTATTCAGACTACTTAATACGTTGATTTTACATTTAATCAGATTATTTGGGGGTATTTAGATGAATCAAAGTAGGAATTAAAAAAAAACAAAAAAAACAAAAAAACAGTCCCAGTAGTAAAGTTTCACCTTTTGTGGCTTCTTTTGTAGTGTCAAAAGTAATAGGGAGTAGAGCCAGCAGCCACACCTTTTATGGTGTAGTGGTTAAGGCACTGGACCCCCATATGGCCGACTGCAGTTTGAGTCCTGAAACTGGTGGCTTGCTTTCTCGCTTTCCTTCTCTTTCTGGTCAAATTAAAAAAAAACCATAATTATAAATTAAATTAGATAAATAATTCTTTTTAAAAAAAGAACAGGAAGTCAGGCTCTGTTTTCCAAATACATAGATTATTATTGTGTTTAGATTACTATTCCCACCATTTATACAGCATTCCAACATCCATATGCATATATACACAGGTAGGAATGGGAAAGAGAAAAGATAAACTCTTCACACAGTATAATCCACTGTTCATTCGTCTTTTATTTTATATTAATGATAATTTAGGATTCATAAAGTTCTGAATTAACAAGCCAAATAAATTCTGAGTACCAGGTACATTAGCCTTTCTAATAATTGGCAGCAGTATGAACCATTTACTTTTTTCTCAAGATACCAGTTACTCTGGCTTTGGCTGTGAATCCGATCATAAACAAATTCGGGAGACTTCATATTTACAGTACATATATTCAATTATTCTTTACTTGAAATTATATTATTAATATCTAAATTCTGCAGTTTCTCTCAATCTTTTTTTTTTTTTTTTTTTGGAGAGGTTTTTGCTATAGGGTGCGTGTGCTTGCCAGACAGAGAGAGGCAGAGAGACAGAAAGCGAGAAATCACCCCCCTAGGGGGATGGCCACGCCACAATCCCTTCTCCTCCATTCTCCTCTCGGGATCTTGGGCACACATGCACACACGCCCAGTGTGAAGTTAAGCCACCAGGTCCGGGACTCGAACCGCGGTCGACTATGTGAGTCCAGCGACATAGCCATTATGCTAACTGCTGGCCCCTCTCAATCTTTTTAAACCACGTGTTACATTTTGTAAGGGTTGGTTTACTTAAAACTGGGTAATGGAATCTGTAAAATCCAATTCATGGACACACTTAAAGTATAATACATCACAAAGTTCTGTTGGAGACCAAGGTAGATGCCACCATCTGCCACTCATCGAATAACTTCCCCTTTGTTTCAGTATACATCACATTCTATTCATGACTGTTACCATCTGAAACAAAGATGGAGTGAAGTAACTGGTGTCAATCTGTAAGATTTGTGTAACTATCACAGCAACCAAGATGCAAATATTGAGAAAATACAATTTCTTTCTTTTTTTGAGAAATGAATATGAATAGTAATTATAGTATTTTCTTCCCACACCCCATTAGATAATTCTGACACCCAAATTTGGAGCCTCCTCAAGGAAGTTTTCTGACTCCTAGAAGGAGTCATAAGATGTAGAGTGAGTGCTCCCCTATCATCAGTCTTAGAAATCATCTAATTTTTCTGAGTTTGTTTATTCTCCCGGGAAATGCATTAACTTTTATGTTCAGAAAACATTTTTTAGAGAGAGACTTTTGCTATAGGGCGCATGCACTCGACAGAAAGAAAGAGACAGAAAATGAGAAATTAACCCTTAGGGAATGGCCACATTGTAGTTCCTCCTCCATTCTCCTCTTGGGATCTTGGGTATGCACACACTTGCTCCTGGCATGAGTTTTAAGTCTTCGGGTCCAAGACTAGAATCACAGTTGACTATGTGGGAGTTCAGCAACATAATAATTATGCCATCTGCTGATCCAAAAAAAGACATTTATTTTTAAGAAAGCTCAGTTGGATATCAGTTACAAATACGAAGAAATATAAATCATTATGCTTTAAATGTGTCTGTACTGCATAGGTTTAGAGGCAAAAGTCATCTTTCTCTCCTTCACAAGAACAAAATTCTCAAAAGTTCCTTTTTCTAGCTGGAATACAGGTAAATTAGACATAGGATCAGAAGTAGGAGTTACTAATGCTTATATAGCTTCACAATTTTTGTTTAATGAAATAATTATTATAAAACATATAGTTTTATATTAATAGCAAAATTATAATATAAATTTTTGAATGAATGGTTTGGTATGTAACAAATTATGTATTATTTATATTTTTATTTATATGCATGCAATTACTTGATTAAACCATATAACAGGGAAGTCTTTGTGAATATAGGTATGTGTGTCTAGCTATATACAGATACAAAATAATTAAGAGATGTGTCCATTCAAGAAAGAAACCCTAAGGGACCAGCAGTTAGCGTAATGGCTATGTTACTGGACTCTCATGTAGTCAACTGCGGTTCGAGTCCCGGACCCAGTGGCTTAAACTCACACCGGGTGCATGTGCATGCATGCTCAAGATCCCGAGAGGAGAAAGGAGGAGAAGGGATTGCGATGATTTCTCGCTTCCTGTCTCTATGTCTCTCTCTGTCTTTCTGGCAAGCGCATGCGCCCTATAGTAAAAAAAAACAACCTCTCCAAAAAAAAAAAAAAAAAAAAAAAAAAG